TATATATATATATATATATATACTATAAATCGATACATATATGTTTATCGATTAGCATATATTCATACATATGTATACATAACTTTGTTTATTTTTATGTGGGTTTTCTATCATGGCTTGTTCTTTTAAGCTTTTTATTGTTTTACTTCTCTGTATGTTACAGGACACCAACAACCTCTGCAGAGCTGATCAATGAAGTAGGCCAAGTGCACGAGAATGACCCTATCAGCGTTGTACTCACCTGTAGTGCGGCCTTACCTAAATCTATGGTAAGTTCAGTTAATAGCTTGTTGATCGGTAGAGTTATTGTTACGTTCGAGCTTGCTTTATTTACTCTCTGTTGTACCACAGCGAGAGCGCAGCTGAAGGGCTGTATGATTTTGTTATCACTATGGGAGACTTCGCGTAGACAATCTCAGTAGTTGCAGTTTTGGTGAGGCTGCGGGCGAAAGGGACCGAACATGTAGACGTGTGAGGTGATGGTAATATTAGTCCTGTATGCCCCGAGACCGCTATGCAGCTGTAATTTAACCTTTTACCCCTTTATTTTAAATTTTAGGGCGCCATGCATCCCGCCGGGTCTCTGTATGAGAAACCTGTCAATATCATGGATACAATCAGGCAGCACGAGAAATTCAAAGAGCTTTTGAGAGAGAACGGTGCTACAGTATGTTTAGTTCTCTCTGAGTCGCTATATTCGGCATCTCCATTGCGTTGCAAATTAAATTGTCCACAGAGTTGTTGCATTGCATATTGCGAATCGAATTTGTATATTCACGAAGCTAGACATATAGTTTAAAACAAGCTTGACTGATGTTCGCAGAGATCAAACTACGACGTTTTATAGCATATGTACCACATTATTATGTTTTTTTATTCTGCCAGGTACTGGACGTGAAGCAGGTGCTTTCTGAAGATACTAACAAGTTCGTGAACGCAAGATTGGATCTTGAAAACCTAGCCGCTAGTATGATGACGTACCAGCTCGACCCTACCTGTGATGATCGCCTGCTGAACAAAGACGATAGGGTATGATTTTAGATTTCGATTCATTCTTTCCTGTTCAGCTGTGATGCATCATTCTTTTTATGAGAGAGGTATTGATTCTTGAATTGTATACTATTGAAGATTTTCCGCTCAAAAAGAGAAATCCAGAAAGATGAGAGGTATATTCTGGGAAAGAGTATGAATTAAACGGTATATGTATTTCTAGTGTCGGCTATTCCTTAAACTCACATTGGCATGCTACTATGGCCATTATTCTACATAGGCTTACTTGCAACTCCATTAGCGTCTTACTGGCAGTATCAGGCCATACTGTGTGCTCAAATCTTCTGCACGAAATTATGGACAAGTAAATTTCGACCACGATTCTAAAGTTCAGGGGTCTAACAATCGGGGCTTCACCACTAGCAAATCTGTTTTTATCACAACGGTCTGACAACCTGTATTGATTGCGCTACCTTCCTTTGCGTGGCCATGCGCGAAGACCATTTAGGCGCTCGCAAAAAGTAGATGACTGACGGTTGCATGTAATATAGTCACATAACGATAAGAGAACAGCAAGCTGTACACCGTGTTATATGTAGATGCAAGTATTCTACACGTGGAGATGCAGGTCGGCAGTCCATGCTATCGCTGCATTGTTGTGACCCCTAACAAGCCGTCGCATATTTTCCAGGATTGGTGAGACAAACAAGGAGATGATGTTCTTCCAGTCTCATGCTGTATCAAGTTTTCTCGACGTATTCTTTTCGACTCTTTTTTACCCCAATTAGTACTACTTAGGAAATGCTTACAAGGCCAAAGTTCTGAGTGCCATGTCGGCATCACAACTAGTTGACGTTATTCTGACGCGGCCCACAGTTACTCTTACCCCCAGTTTAAGAGATACGGTACGTCAATTAACATGCTGATATTTTTGCAGTCTGTAATCACTAATGTTCTTGATACCCAACAAATATACGCGCTACATAATTGCACGCCAGCTCCTGCCATCTATTGTAAGAGATAGTCTCAGAGATGGTCTCTCGAACTCATCCTTGTCATGCTCGGCTAATGGTTGGCTCACTATCATTCTCGCAGGGATTCACTGCTGCATATCAGCTCTTTCCGCTCAGTAATGTAGTCTTCACTCGTGATCAACAGATTACAACGAAAAAAGGTATGCCACGATTCCTAACCAAGTTGTGCAATATTGCGTGCCTGAAAGAGTATTGGCATCTCCAGGATATGAAGATTATACTTTAGCTTTTCGTCCAGTCCGCTGCCATATTCTGCTTACTTTGTGCAGGTGCAAAGATCTACACGTGGTATCTCCCGCTCAATTTTTCGTAACACTTCGCTGGGTTGAATCGAATTTCCTTGTTGTTGAGCACACAGAAACAGCCGTCGCACATCCCATATCCTCGCACACAGCAGATGTTAACCTTGTCGTCCCTTTCACAACTACGCAGGTGTTGTTATGTGCAATCTATCCTCCAAGCAACGAAAGGCCGAAACCGAAGTGATGTCATTTGTGTGGAAAAAATTGGGCGTTAAGGTGAGTGCACTCTACCCCTTTCATACCGATTATTTGCATTAGTATGTTCGAAGTACCAACTCATGAGTTGTTGTTTTACGGCAGAAGATGAATTCGTATAATTTCGGACCGTACAATGATTATATATATATATATATCAATGTGTCACATTCGGTCTGAAATATAGGTCATCGGAGAAATACCCGATCCGGGACGCTTGGAAGGTGGTGACTTCTTCGCGCTGGGCGATTCATGTATGATTGGCGTGGGTCTGCGTACCAATATGGAGGCTATCCAGTACATGATGGATGAGGATCTGCTGGGTTACAACAAAATTCAGGTGATCAAAGATGAGCTGGAGGTGAGCCAGGACCGTATGCATCTGGATACCTACTTTTCAATTCTAGGTGAGTCTTTCTAGTATTTTAGACATTGGGATTGCCTGTTCTGCTTATATGGATTCGGGTTCAGCTGCGGGAATAGATTCCCTGGCACACTGCGTCTATTCTGCATTGAAGAATCAACAAGTTTATTGACGGCTCAGTCAAAATTTATCGTTCCCAGACGATCATACCGTGTGCGTTATGGAAGAATGTTTAGGAGAGGATAGCAATACGCGCCGATATGTGGATGAGTATGTGAGAAAGGATGAGAATTCGTCCTACGAAAAGGTTCAAAGCGACGTTGAATTCGCACAGTTTTTGAAGAACGAGGGTTACGGGTAAGGCTTTCTTGGTGGGCGGCTGGACTTATCATTATCCCTACTGTTTTTTTGTTCACCAGATTGGCAGTAAATTTGATGAGTCTTCACCTGATACCATAGTTTTGCATATATTCTCCACGTCCTTACCCTTTCTCCGCAATATGAATGTATCAGTTTTGATATCACGAATATCAATCTCCATATTTCGATTATCATACTTCGTATACTGCCCACTCCCACTTCTGTTTTATATCCGATGGATGCTTGGCAAGACAATGGTATCGGTGCATTGAAGCAAGTACGCTTTAAAAATGAGTCACGCTTGAGAATGTCCCGGAACCCTAAGCCAAAGTCGAACTTTCGTTTCTCAATAACAGCGTCATCCATATCCCTGGCGACTACCAGCTTAAGTACGGCTGTAATTGTCTCAACCTGGGTAACGGCAATGTGCTTTGTGTTCACCTGCCTACTGCCCGCATGATTGCAGCGTCTCCGTTGTTCAAAGGAAAGATTCAGGTAACGAATTTCGCTTAGAAGCAGTTCAGAGATACCTTATGTAGTTGCAGCTAACATTGGCCGTATTTTATTTCGTTGACGAAATCGTGAACCGTGTTTCGACCTTGTATAGTTTCTTGCGACCTATTGAAGTACTTGAAGAAATTTTATGTAGTATGCCAATTTATACACTATAATGATCGGCTCACCAGTATTTTCTTTTTAGTGTCAGGTTCTTAAAATCCGTATATATATATATATATTTGTGTGTGTGTGTGTGCGTGTGCGTGTATATATATATATATACTATAGTTGCCGTGCGTATTATGCTGAGTTGCAATAGTGCTCATTTCACTAAGAATTTGTCACAATTCACAGTATCTGGACTTCGATGGAATCACAGCACTATATGGAGCTGCACATTGTGCCAGTCAAGTAGTACGACGTATACCCCGTGCAGGCACGAAGTAACTCGCCGCGCGATACGCATTGATGTATTGGCGGTAGTACATGGATGAAGCAAATGAGCTCTTCTATATGTTCCAGAGTTAATTAAATAATTAGCGAAGATGTGCTTTTACTCGACAGCTCGGAATCACCTGGTGCGAGTTTGTGACTTTGTGACTTGTGGCCGTGTCGTATTTCCATTCTAACATGGCAATATTATTGCCCGCAGGGGACGAGCACAGCTCGGTAAGAGATTGGTTTGTCTGTATTTTTATTTTTAGTGTTGAGAATTGTACCGAACTTATTTATAGCCGGCAAAATGGATTATATTCGTCATTTATTTGCGTGTATTTACTATCTATCAACTATATTTATATTGTGCTTTTATTTAGGTTCTAATATAACAAGACCCTTTTCGTAGTTCAAGTTCTTGATCAGCTCGTGAACGCATATATTTATGCATCTGTGTCCGTCGGTCTATCTCTATAATTTAAATATGTATATATATATAAATATACATGTATATGTATATATATAAATATACATATATATATATATATATATATCATATGTGTCTGTATCTGTGTATGAAAGAGAGTGTGTGTGAGTGTATCTGTATATATGTATGTGTGCGTGTCCGTGTCCCTATATATATATATTGTGTGTGTGTGCCTATATTTACGTGTGTGTCGTGTGTATTTATGTATTTATACGTGTATATATGTATATATGAGTGTGTTTCCGTGTGTTTGTATATGTATATATATACGTGTGTGTCCGTGTGTATGTATGTATATAAATATATAAATGTGGGCGTGGATGTGGGTGTGGGTATCCGTGTGTATGTGAGCATATATATATATATGCATCTTTGTATATATATATATATGTGTGTGTGTGTCAAAGTGTCAAAGTGTGTATCCGTGTGTGTGTGTATCCTCTGTGTATGTGTGAGTGTGTGCATCCTCTGTGTATGTGTGTGTGTATATATGTGAGTGTGAGTGTGTTCATGTATGTGTATTTATGCGTTGTTTAAGTATGCTTGTGTGTATGTGTGTGGGTATATGTATGCTTTAATCATACATTCCCTTGCCGCTTGCCTCTATCCTGGCGGATGCAACACAGCAGCCTTTTGTGTCGGATAGTTGCTGTAAGCAGTCTACCTTTTCTAGCGGGGTCTCAACGGGGTACTAGCTCGGTACTTAGAACACTTAATCAAAACCGTTTCTTAAGCCTCTATCATTTTTAATTCCATAGTTTCACGACATGCATTTCATATATCAACACACACGTATAATCACTATAGACCACTTTTTATGCCACTTCGGCAGTCATAATACGACGCGTTGGTGTGCAGAGTATTGTAGTGGTGAAACTGGTGTGCAAAATACAGAGCTTCGTCGTGTCCCGCACAGGCGTAGAGATGATTTCGTTATCAGGATAAAGCGCTTGGGAAGATGCAACAAAAGCACCACGCAACAATAAGAATATAATGCAGAGGCTTCGAAATCAATAGTTTATTGCCTTAGTATTGAATTTAGGAAGCTATGCGAGGATATTTTGAAATGTCCAGTGAAGTACATGCATTATTATATACATGCACACACATATATATATATATATATGAATGTATGTACGTATATAAATATGTTTATTTATATATATATATATATAATATATGTACGTATATATATATATACGTGTGTATATAATGAAATATTTATATGTAATTCTATATATTTATATGTATATATATATATATGTATATATATATATATATATATATAGTGTGTGT